GCGGACTAAAGGGTCCCAGGTTCGATTCCAGTCAAAGCAACATGCCTGGGTTTCGGGCTCGATCCTTAGTGGGGGGTGTGCAGGAGGCAGCCGATCAATGATTCTCTCTCATCATTGATGTTTCTATCTCTCTCTCCCTCTCCCTTCCTGTCTGAAATCAATACAAATATTTTTTAAAAAGAAAAAACATTAAACACCGACATTCTTACGGTGCAGACTGGTCGTCTGAGGGACTGAGCCATTTGTCCCAGGTCACCCAGCTCGTAATTGACAAACCCAGGTGCTTCCACAGTGCACCCAGGGGTGTCTCAACAGAGGCCCGAGGCCAAGGTTCTGACTGAGGCAGGCGCTGGCCAGGAGAAGGGGGACCGGATTTTTATCTTTTGGGGTGCAAAGGGTGTGAGGGGCTGAGCCAAAGCACATAGGGGTGTCAGGGTGGCCATGCAGAGAGCCTCGGAGCCGGAATCTGGCTGGGGAGTTGTTACAGGGAGAAAGCTGGGGTGACTGGGGTTGGGGAAGGCGTTTTGGGAAGAGAATGCTTCTGGCCCTGCAACCCGACCTGAGGACGAGGAATAGGGACCCAGGGCTATGGAAGGTGAGCTTGGGCAGGTGCTCAGAGCCTGGGGTCCCCCCCTCCCCCACAAGGAGTCAGAAAAGACCCTCAGCCTTTGCCTAGCCTTCTCCCCAGTGTATTCTCACAGGCCTATGTGGTGCATTATTTAGCCCTATTTTATTTTTTTTAAAAAAATATATATATTTTTTTATTTCAGAAGGGAAGGGAGAAGGAGAGAGAGAGATAGAAACATCAGTGATGAGAGAGAATCATGGACCAGCTGCCTCCTGCACGCCCCACACTGGGAATCGAGCCTGCAACCCGGGCATGTGCCCTGACCAGAAATTGAACCGTGACCTCCTGGTTCATAGGTCAACGTTCAATCACTGAGCCATGCCAGCCGGGCTTTAGCCCTATTTTAGATGAGACAACAGAGGTCCAGAGACACCAAGGAACCAGTCAAGGCCAAACGGCCAGCTAGTGGCAGAGCAGGACCAGCGTTCAAGTCCAGCATTCCTTCCCGGATGCTGCGGGCCGGACCTGCGGCTTTAGCATCGGCCTCCACAGCAGGGCGGCGGAAGTGTGGCCTGTGCGGATGCTGGGTGGGCCTCGAGGTTCAGCGGCCACTGGATCTGCAGAGGAGGTGTCATTGGCGAGCAAGCATTGATCCGGTCGCCATTGTGACGAGGCGGGCACAGAGATGGTGGCAGCGGCTGCTAGGAGTTTGCGGTCACGTCCTCTCTGGGGAGGCGACGTCGGTGAATTAGATGCTTTTACCTTCTCCAGACTCTTGCCCTCTGCAGGGGAGGAAAGGGAAGACTGGGGGTGGGAAAGGTGGCAGAGCAGGTCCTCGCTCCCGGCCTGGCACATCCGCGGCCTCGGCTGGTCTCTGAGCCCGTCCCTCCCGGGTCAGGCAAATGCCCGGCCTGCGGCTCTTGCCACACGGATGGTGGCAAGGAGAGAGGTGTGCTTGCTCTGTCCCGTGAGCTGCACAAACAGCAGCACTTGTGTGAATAATTCAGCCGCGGCCGCGGGGGTGGGCCAGGGAGCCGTGGGACGGAGCCGGGCGGACAGCAGCATGGAGACCATGACAGGGAGAGGCCAGACGGGAGCCAGGAGCCCTGCCTCCCAGCCGTGGCCTAGCAACAGAGCAGGTGGCCTCAAGGGCCCTGGGAGGAGCGTGCGGGCCTGGCAGCTGCTCCTGGGGGACAGAGCGTCTCTCCTGAAGCCGACCCAGGACACCCGGGCCCTGATGGCAGCGCCAGATTGGAAACAGGCCTGAGGGGCCACAGGGCGCAGTGGCTGCCAGCACGGCCCAACCGGTCAGGGGACCTAGGGCATGAGGCCAGAGCATCACAGAGTGAGAGGGGGACAGGAGAGGGGAGGCCGAGCACCAAAGGCCCTGGCCCTCGCCTGCCAGGGACTGGGCCTGCGGGCAGGGCAGGGGTGAGTCACACCCTCTGGTCTCCCTTCTCGGGGGACCTGCTCACTCCGGCTCCAGCTTCGTCTCCTGCCTGTGCCCAGTCCTCCACGAGTGCTCAGAGGGCAGGCGCCCACGGCACCCGTTGGTGCTCCAGCAGGAGAGAGTCGCCTTCCAATGCAGCAGGACGGTTCAGAGGTTAGACATCTGGAAGAACTTCCTGGGCAGGCAAAACAGGGAAGCGGGGAGCATGTGGCGTCTCGCTTAAGGTGAAACAGCAACGATGGCATTCAACATCCGGCAATACGTTCTGTGCTCTGTGTCGCATTCCAGGTGCTTTAACTGTCACCTCGCTTCATCTTGGTCACAGTGGAAGGAAATGGTGCTGATATTATCCCCATTGTATGGATGAGAAAACAGAGGCCCAGAGGGGTCAAGTCACCCTCCCGGGGTCACACAGCTGTGAATGCCGGAACTGCACAAACCTGCATTCTTTCCTCTTTCCAATGACTGCCACCTCCAGACCAGCGGTTCTCAACCTGTGGGTCGCGGCCCCTTTGGGGGTCGAACGACCCTTTCACAGGGGTCGCTTAAGACCATCGGAAAACACATATATAATTACATATTGTTTACAGTAGCAAAATTACAGTATGAAGTAGCAACGAAAATAATTTTATAGTTGGGGGGTCACCACATCATGAGGAACTGTATGAAAGGGTCGTGGCATTAGGAAGGTTGAGAGCCGCTGCTCTAGACAAAGTGACCGAGGCCCCGAGAGAGGGTGTCTTCAAACTTTTCGGGTGTCCGTGAGACAGGCAGGCCGTGCCCCAGGGCCTCCGTTTCCACAGCACAGCCTCATGGGGTGTGTCTGGTATGTCTGATGGACACTCCAGCTCTGACGTTCCGGAACCACGGTTGTCTGGTGGCTGCTGGGGGTGAACGAGGTGGGGGGTTTACGTTTGTAAGGAACAGGCTGTAAGCTCTCCTATGGGAGCAGCCACGGGTCTCCTCCTGAGTCTCACCACCTCAACCGCGCTGTTGGCAAAGGCTGGGGGTCAGGACCGAGGGTTCTACTCCTGGCGCTCTTGCCCCTCCCTGGGCAGTCAGCTGGGGGGGGGGGGCTTTAGCTCTCTGGCTCAGTTCCTTCCCCTCTGCCACCTGCGGGGTGCCCTGGGTCACCTCTCAGAAGCCCACTCCCTCGCCACCTCTGAGAAACTCCGTGATGCTTACAGAGATCTGTTGAGCGGCAGCGGTGAATTCAGCTCCCCCCTCTCTGGACTCTCGGTTTGATGGGTGGGCAGGTTCCTGAACAGGGGACCTTTCTGTGTGGTGCCCATTGGTGGGGAGATGGTGGGGGGGAAGGGACGGGCGGCAGGGGAGTAAGTGGCACTATTTGCTCTTTGCCAGGACAATGAGCGGCAGCTGGGGGAGAGCCCGGCAACCAGCCTGAGCCCCGAGGCCCAGGCTGTTGGCTTGGCTTTCTGAGGTTTGCCAGAAAGGGGTTCGTGGACCGCTCCTGGATTCCTGGCTGCCTGTGGGTTTAGGAAATGAAATGGCCCTGAACCAGGGGGCGGGGGCTGAGATTTATGGCCACTGAGGAATTGTGGGCTAGAACCTACAAATGCCGGTCTTCCTTCCATGTTTAATTAGAACATTCCATCCAAGGAAACCTGTCTCTGCGGGAGCAATCTTCACAGAGGGGTGCTTGGGGGATTTCCTCGTCTGTTCCTCAGCCGGAAGAGCTGTGGGTGGAGGGGCGTGTGCGTGTGCGTGTGCGTGTGCGTGTGCGTGTGTGTGTGTGTGTGTGTGTGTGTTGGGGGAGACTTGAGACAAAGGTTTGTCCCTGCCTGCTGGGCCCTGGGAAGATGGAGGTGAGCTGGGTGTGGGCCGTGCAGTATAAAATCGGTTAAGTGGATTCTCAGGGTGGGAGTAGGACACCTTGGCTCCGGGAAGCCTGGCTGTCTGTGAACTGCATTCTCAGTGGAGGGGGAGCAGGCTGCTGCGGGGCCCAGGATTGCGCCTTCCTGCCGATCCCCTTCAATTGGGGGGGGGGGGGGGGCGCTGCTGTGCTGTGTGACACTTGCGTGTGTTTCTCCCGTGTGGAGGTGTGTTGTGTGGGGGGTGGTGTGGTGGTGAACAGGCGTGTGGGTGTGTGCAGGAGGTCTCCATACCTGAAAGCACCAATGGTTTGGCTCCAGGCCCTTCAAACGCTTGGGAGAAGGGCCCCCCTCTTCTCTGCCACAGAATCCAACACCAATTCTGCGGAGAAAGAGGAACTAGGGTTCCCCTGATTTGGACTGAGCTGAGCTGACAGAGGGGCAGAGCGGGCCAAGAGAGCCCCAGGGTTGGAAGGTCAAAAAGGGATTACTTTCCTACCCACGAAAGCAAGGTCAAGAAAAGGGGGTGGGGGAGTGGGGCGCCGTGCAGGAGAGGGAGGAGCACAGGCTGCAGGGTCTATTTCTAATTTTGCGGGACTGGGGTAAGCGGGGATGGTCATTGAGCTCAGTCCCCCACCAAGGGTGGCGATTCTAGACTTTTCCCTTCCATCTGTGTGCAAGCTTGGGGGACTAAGAGGAGCGGATCCAGGCTCAGCCCGGCAAAAAAAGAACTCCACTCCTGGTTTTCGCACACACCAGCCTGTCTTCCCGGGACCTGCTCCGTGTGGAGTCCCGAGCTGACGCCCTGGAGCCGCCACCAAGTGGAAAACCTGGACGGGATTTCAACGCTTCTTGGAGCGGAATCAAAGGGCACCTCGGAGCAGGCGGCCGGCACCGCGGCCCTGCGTTGCTTCGAAGCCGCTGCCCCCGGGACCGGGTCGCGCAGCGCGGCGGGACCCCAGGCTCCAGGCGCGCAGCCGGAGGGCGCGGCGTCCTCGCCGCGGGGCCGTGGGCGGGCGGGGCGCGGGGCGCGGCGGTGCCCTCGGGGCGGCGGCGCGGGCTGCAGTGCGGCGGGCGGCCGGCAGCGGGCAGCAGCGGGCACGGGCACGGGCGGCAGCGGGCGGGCGGCGCCGGCGGTGCCCCGGGCGCGCACTCACACACACACACACACACACACACCCGCACGCACACGCCTCGTACACACTCACACACGCTCCGGCACGCACACGCAGCGCGGGCCGGAGGGAGGAGGCTCGGCGGCGGCGGCGGCGGCGTGCTCGGCGGCGGCGGGAGGCTGGCGGGCGGCCCCCGCTCCCCGGCTCCGCGGCCCCGTGCAGCCCGCGCGGCCCCCGCCCTCGGACCCGCCCCCGGGGGTCGCCGGGCCCCATGCCCTGCAGCGGCGGCGGAGCAGCGCGCGGCCACGGGCGGCTGTGAGAAGCCCGGGGGCAGCCGGCGACGAGGGGACCATGTACCGGGACCCGGAGGCGGCCAGCCCAGGTAAGCGCGGCCCCGCGGGCGGGGTGCCCCGCACCGGCGGGCAGGACGGCGGCAGCGCGGGGCGCCGTCTCGGAGCCCAGCCCGGGCCGCCGGAGCCGCGCTGACTCCCCCAGGGTCATCCCAGCCGCGGGCCCGGGCGTGAGCGACCGTGGCTCGGACCCCGGACCCCCACCCCCTGGGGTCCGAGCCCTGCCCGGCGGGCTGCCCGGCGCCGGCTTCGCAGTGTCCCCACAAGGACCTCCCCCCGCGCCCCGCAGCCCAAGGACAGCGTGCGTGGCGGAGCGAGGCGCCGGCACCGGGAGCGGGCAGTGCCGCTGGCATCCCCGGGTCCCCAGCACCAGCGCCCCGAAGGGGAGGTGCCCGCGCCAGGGGACCCCAGGACCAGGATCCCGGGAAGCTTTTGACCAAGGCTGCGGGCGCTGGGGAGCGGTGCCATCGGCGGTGCCAACTGTGAATTGAGAGGGTGCCAGGGGGCGAGCGGGAATCTGGTGCAGCCGCAGGGGAGGGGGCTGGGGAGCCGCAGGAGCGAGGGGCGGGAGGCTGGAGCACCTGGAGAGAACGCGAGCAGAGATGGATGAGTGGGGGTGCCAGGGGGTGCTCTCCTGGGGCGGGGGACGCCGAGAACCCCAAACTCACTCCGGTCCTGTGGGGGAGGGCGGGGGAGGGGCCGCTCCTTTGCGATTCTCCGGAGCTGGAGCCTGGGGAGTGGCCTGGAGCCCACGTCTGCTCGGCATCCTGGCATCCTGGCATCCTGGCATCCTGGCAGCTAAGCCAGGAACCCTCCTTCCTTCCTTAGGCAATTGCCCTGCCGTTTCCTCCTTGGCTCCCGATGCCTCCTCGGGCAGTGCCCACCTGTAGGCAGGTCCCCTCCAGCTCCTGCCCAGGCTGGTCTCAGCTCCCTCCTGGGGTGCCCCACCCCAGGCCCGGCACTCCCAGCCTGAGGACTCGCTCTCAGAAAAGTCTCTGGGGTTACTGATGCCGGTGTCCCCGGGGGTGGGGGCCCTGGGGGCGGGAGCAGGTCTCAGACCCCTTCTGTGGAGGCTCAGGGCACCAGTGGGCCCCTGCTCTGCCTGCTCTTGCCCCGGCCCCACTTTGCAGGTTCCCTCGGGGCAGCCTCCTCCGTCTGCCCTTGCCTCCTGATGAGCCGGCTCTCGGCCCCATCGGCCCCATCGGGTCATTGCAGCTGCCTCCACGGGGAGACCTGGTGCCAGGCATCGCCTTCCCTCAGCGCTCAGGCTCCCTCCCCGGAACCTCATGCCCATCGGCGAATGCCCTCTAGGGGGTGGCTGAAGGCACCTTGCCTTTGAAGATGCCTCCCTTCATCTGGACCCAGGTTACCTGCCCTGGCACCTTCCTCCAGGAGGCTGCCAGCTGCCAGCACCTGGACCAAGGGCAGTGCATTCTGCTGCTGGGCTCACCCGCTCGGAAGCAACCAGCTCAGTGCAGAGACCAGCTCTGGGTGTGAGGATGGAAGGGGAGCGGCAGGAAGGACACCCCCGCCCCTGCCCAGCCCGGCTGGCAGCCCCTCTTCTGTTAGGTTAGTGGCCCGGGGCTGTTCCCTCGTCCTCTCTCCAACCCTCCTCTTCTGTCCCAGGCCTGGCACCATGACAACACCGCTCCCCATGCACCCCTGCCCTCTCCACGGATGCCAGCTTTCTGTGTTTGGCATCTTCTGGGTGAAGGGCCTGGAGCCCAGTGCTGGAGCCCCTAGACCACTCCCTCTCCCCCCAGGCAGTGGGCCTCCCTGTCTTGCCCACTCCCACTGCCACTGCGGGCCCACCGGTGCCATGGCAGGGGCAGCTCCGGAAGTGGCCGGGCCTGAGGTCTACTTCTCTCTGGTGTGGGCACTGGGCTGGGTGGGGTCAGTCTTAGGCTAGAGATGGCAGCCTCTGCTTTTGCTCCTGGTCCCCTGGGGGACTCTGAGGGACAGAGACCTCACTCTGACCTCTGTCCCAGCATCCCTGCCGACCGCCCATAACCTCACAGTTCCAGGCTAGACTCCCCCTCCCCCCTCCAGCTCACCCCAGGCCGCCCCAGACTCTGCTCCCCCAGCCGGGCCTATGTGTCCCCTATTTCCGGCCCCCCCACCTTTCCTTTGGATGGCACCAGGTGGGAGTGAGATATGCAAATTAATTCCTGTGGGATTCAGGCCAACCTCTCTGGGCCCCCAGGGCCCAGTACCTTTTATATCCTGAGCCCTTCTTCCCTCTCCCAGGAACACCTGTGGCCCAGTCCTTGAAAATGCATTAATCTCCTGTCCTGTCCTGCTCCCCTATGTCCCAAGCTGTCTCCAGAGGGTCCCTGTGGTACCGCCTTCCTCAGCCCACTCACTCAGCATGTCCCCGTAGGGCTCAGCCTACCACGAAGACCCTTACTTAGGGGACAGGGCAGGCGCAGCTCCCTTCCCACTCGGGGCCCTGGTCCCCCGGCAGTTCTCGCCCAGATCTCTCAAGGCTGGAGCAAGGGACTGTGGGGGAAAGCTGGAGCCCAGTGAAGAATGAAGGCTCCCATCAGCGTCTGTCCAAACTCTGCCCGACCTTGCCCGCTCTGCCTGCAGACTCACCTCTGCCGCCCCCTAGCCATGCAGCCCTCTCCCCGCTCCCTGTTCTCAGCTTTCTCCTGTGCGTCCCAGGCCGCCTGGCCTCCCTGTGTCCCTCCGATGCCTGTCCCCAGGCCGGGCAGGGCCTCCGCACGCCTGCAGGGGTCAGCGTTGCAGTGGGCAGGCAGGACGGCAGCAGGGAGGGAGGGAGGGAGAGGTGACCTTGCAGTGAGTGAGTGATCAGGGCCAGCGAGGGGAAGTCTGAGCGCCTGCAGCTGAGACCCGGTCCTGAGGGTGGCCTGCCCTGCCCGCCCGCTGCCAGCTTATCCCCGGGGGTAGCAGTGCCTGAGGTTCCATCTGCTCCACCTGTTAATGCTCTGCTCCCTACAGCAAGTCTGCCGGGCAGGCCCTTCCTGAGAAGTATGGGGGTCACACGGCATGGGCAGGGGGGGCCTTGGCACGGTGGGTCTCCTCTCTAGAAGCAGAAGGGTCCACGGGATTGCCCAGGCCCCTAGGCACGAGTTAGGGCAGTGGCTGCTGGGTGCTGTGTGGGGCAGGAATTGGGGGTATGGCTGGAAGAACAGATCAGGGTGTGCTGTGAGGGCCGTCAGGGTGAGGGGCCAGGGCTGGGATGTTGGATGGCCCAAGGAGGCCTGGCTCTGTCTAACCATTTCACTGGCAGACCCTCCCCCTACCTTCATCTACCCATCCATCCCCCCCAGCCCTCCCCTGCCCCACCGGCACAGGCCCAGACCTCCCTGGCCTGTATCTGGGCTTGGGTCAGAGTCTAGGACTGAAGTTCAAATGGCCTGCCAACAGGCCATGACCTAGAGGGGCCCCTGAGGCTGAGCAGGTCCGGAGCGCAGGGCAGGGCGGGAGGGGTGGCTTCTGTGGGACTCGGGTTAGGGTGGCCCGCGCGCCCGAGCGATCGCGTTTCCTGTGGAGACAGGACCCCTTGGTTCATGCTGTTCACAGCGTTGTGGGGACAGCTTGGCCGAGGGGCGGGGCGCTCAAGGCCTGTGGGGTGGTGGGAGGAAGACAGCCTCCACGCCCCCCGAGTTGGGGGAGAGGGCTAGAACAGGCTGGATTGGGGTGGGAGCTCACAGGCCAGCAGGTGACAGGTGAGGCAGCTGGAAGCATGGGGACAGGGAGGTGTCAGGTGAGCAAAGACAGGCCCTGAGCAGCTGGGACCTGGCTGACCCCAAACTCAGGCCCAAAGGTCCTGGGAGGCCAGCGTGCCCGTGAGGGCTGCCCCTCACCCTCCCGCCTGTGGCTGCAGGAGGTCTTTAGGGAAAGGCAGGGGAGTGGGTGGTTACCGCCTTTCTCCCCACGTCCTGCCCACCCCCGTTCTCTCAGGGGCTTTGAATCCTCATTGAATCTGATGGACCGTTTTCAATAACTGCTCCCCCCGGGGATGAGGCGGGAACAGCAGGGAGAAGGGTGGTGAGGGAGCCTGGTGGAGGTGGGCGGCCGGGGCTGGAGCAGGGCTGCACAGCCTTCTCAGGGCACCGAGGCCGCCCGGGGGGCACAGGGCGCGCTGCTGGGAGCCAGCCCCCTGCTCCATGGGCAGCGCCCCGCAGGTGGCACATGCAACTGGTGAGGTCAGCTCTCTGTTGGGGCAGTCGCTGGTCTGGCCAGGTGCCAGAGCCAGCCTGTGCCAGGCCCAGCCCGGGTGCCCGCCTGCCTTGCCAGGGAACCCCAGTCAATGGTGCCAGGCGGACTGTGCCAGTTCCATGGACATGGAAGTCGCTGACTTTCCAGGCAGCAGGGGCAGCCTGGCTGGGCCCTGTCCAACTTGTGTCTGGAGGGCAGGGCTTAGGTCTCACCCAACAGGATCCCCAGGGGTCAGAACAGAGCTGGCAGGCAGTGCGGGACCTGTGGAAGGGGCTGGATGGCGCCCAGCACTGGCTCCTGGAATTCTGGACCCAGTTGGTTGGAATGTGGGCTGGCATGTCGGGCCTTCTCCGGGGGGCTCTGCAGCTTCCACCTGGCAGGGCACGTGGGAAGGTGTCACCGGTGGGGCTGGGCTGGGAGCCCACTTGCATGGTGACTGTGTGGGGCCGCCAAGCAGTGGGAGGGAGGGCGGGGCCCGAAGGGAGAAGCAGCCTGCTCCGTGGGCACCTGCGTGCGGGCGGCAGCTGGACGGGCCACCGTAATAGCTGCGCTCATCTCCGTGCCTTGCCCGCTGTCAACAGCAGCTAATGAGTGTATTTGTCGCGAAGCTCGGGGAGGTGCACAGGGAGCTGTGACGGAAGGCATTGGGGGAGGGTGGCTCCCTGGCCCTGGGTCCCTGTCCCCAGCCAGGCGGGGCCTGTGCCGTCCAGGGGCCCTGCCTGTCCCCTGCCACGCCCTCCCACCTGCCGGCTTGGCTGCCTCTGAGGCCTCCATCTGCTGGGAGCAGGGCCTCGCCTGGCTGTGTGGCCTGCAGGCGTGTGGGTGTTGGAGCTTTGGTGTGACGGAT